ATATTAAAGAGAATAATACAGAATATTACACTAAAAATATTTCTAAAATGTGCTTAAAAGATATTTTATAAATATTATGAAAATATATTAATTAGAATAAATATAGAATATTAAACTTAAAATATTTATGGAATATATTATCAATATAATTTTTTAAATATTATAAATATATATCTTATTGGCCAACTGAGGTAATTTATGAGAGGCAAGCCATCCTCTTGCCTCCCTTAAGTTACACCCTTAGATGTTATTGATATCTAGTTAAATAATACTTAGATATTATATATACATATATAATAACAATATTGATCAATTTCTAACTTACAAGGAGAGGTCACGGTGATGGGATCGCCAATTTTCAAAAAAAATTATATGAATCTAATCTAAATTGAATATAAAGTTGCATTTACTTTGAATTTTTTTAAACGGGAATAATGACTTTGAAAATTTAAACTACCTTAAATAGCCATTCTTATAATCTCACAGTCGTTGTAACCTGTAGGTCTGTTGGTAATGTGTAAATTAGCATTAACTTTAACTTAATTAATAACTTAAGCATTTTAAATATAAGGTTCGAGGTTTCTTTTGATGTATTCATAAAAAATTATGCGAAAAATTGTCAAAATATTTTTTTTATAATATTTTAGAAATATACCTTTAAAATATTGTGAGAATATAATATAAGTTGCCAAAGTATATTCTGAGAACATTGATAGAATATTTCAAAACATTCTAGTTATATTCTAGAAATATTTCATTGCTATATGGGCAGTAGCATATTAATGAGTATCCCAACGGCTACTAGACGCCACACAACAAAACCTTAAATAAGTGCAAAATTATGGTAAAAATATATCATAGCGTTGATTTATGAGAAATCTTGTGAATAAAATTGTAGTATAGTATAGTGTAAGTATCCTCGGTAGTATAGTGGTAAGTATCCCCGCCTGTCACGCGGGAGACCGAGGTTCGATTCCCCNGGTAAGTATCCCCGCCTGTCACGCGGGAGACCGAGGTTCGATTCCCCGCCGGGGAGCCAGTTGACACGACTTACGTCGCAAAAATGTGGTCGACACTGGTTTTGAGGGTAGAGACCCGTGGGCCGTTTATTATATGAGCGAGAACAGATTATTTTAACAAAAAACGGTAGCACAGTGGGGTCGCGGCATAGTGGAGACATAAAATAAGCTTTAATTTTATATATGTTTAAAGGACTCAGTATTTCCGGAACATTTTCAAAAATTAAGTTGAAAAAGTTATTTTTTGTAAAAAAGTTACTATTTTAAATCCCCTTTGTGAGCAGAATAAGTGTTAGATTTTCAAAAAAAATGATATCAAACGAAAGGAAATTACCTAAGGTTTCAATATAAAAAAATATTATTTTGATTTGTTAATATTTGAAAAAGTTATGGCAGTTTTAAGTACAAAAAATATCGTTATAGAAGGTGATTTTTATCGCAAATATTACATTTTTTTTTAAATTTCGACAGCCATTTGCGCATAGAAGATAGGTCGTCGGGACAAATTTTTTTTTTTCATTTTATAGTACATAAAATAAGCTTTAATTTTATATATGTTTAAAGGACTCAGTATTTCCGGAACATTTTCAAAAGTTAAGTTGAAAAAGATCTATGTTTTATACAATATTTCAAGTTTTGAACGCCCCCTATATAAGGGGAAATTGT